CACCATCTGAGAGGGAGTTACTACACTACGTGTTTGCTGATCAACACCTACATTAAATCTGTATGTTCACTGCATGTTCCTTTACCTTTCTCTAATGAAGGCTTTTGTTCAACCACCAATGTATGTAATAAGTCATTTATGTCTAATGTATATTTTCAGCCTTCGGGTTGCAGAACTTTTTCAATAAACCGTTAATTATTATTATTATTATTATTATTATTATTATTATTATTATTATTATTAAAAAAGAGGGCTTCGTATGCATGAGGCATGACGAAGTAAGGGATCTAACAACAAATCTACTGAGGGACACCTGACACGACGTCATGATGGAACTGCCCCTCCTTCCATTAGACGGTGAGAACCTCCGTCACTGGACTTCAAACACATCCAACGAAGCCCGTGTGGACGTTCACAACCTCTGGTGGGATGGGACCATGTGCAAGATGCTTCTACGCCAGACTCGTGGAGGTGTTATCTGAACAAAAGCAGCAGCCCAGAAGTTATGTTACAGCATGGTTGAGATGTCAACTGTCCTTCTCTCTGCTTAGGTCTGCATTGCTTTTCCTCAGGGGAACGAGAGCATCGGCCCCAAAGCCGACATCAGTTGCAGATATCGACTTTGAGGCAACAGTCACTGACTGCCGCATAGATCTGCGGCTCAACTAACTCAACACAGCTAGGGTAGATACTTATGTATTAGGATAGTTAATTTTAAGGTAATAAAATGGCGGTAATAAAAACACGAGGTGTAGTAACTCCCCCCAGATGGTGTTAGGAAGGACCTCACGTGGAGTAGTAGTTCCCTCACAGATGGTGTTATGAGGGGCCTCACGTGGTGTAGTAATTCCCTCACAGATGGTGTTATGAGGGGCATCACGTGGTGTAGTAATTCCCTCACAGATGGTATTATGAGGGACCTGACGTGGTGTAGTAATTCCTTCACAGATGGTGTTATGAGGGGTCTGACGTGGTGTAGTAAATCCCTCACAGATGGTGTTATGAGGGACCTCACGTGGTGTAGTAATTCCCTCACAGATGGTATTATGAGGGGCCTCACGTAGTGTACTAATTCCCTTACAGATGGTGTTATGAGGGAAATCACGTGGTGTAGTAATTCCCTCACAGATGATGTTATGGGGGCATCATGTGGTGTACGAATTCCCTTACAGATGGTGTTATGAGGGACCTGACGTGGTGTAGTAATTCCCTCACAGATGGTGTTACGAGGGGCCTGACGTGGTGTACTAATTCCCTCACAGATGGTGTTATGAGGGACCTCACGTGGTGTAGTAATTCCCTCACAGATGGTGTTATGAGGGACCTCACGTGGTGTAGTAATTCCCTCACAGATGGTGTTATATGAGTGAGGTGTGGTCCCAGGCCTTCTTATCGTAGACGGATTAACACATCGCTGGTTCTTGTTGGGTCTCACGGGCAGTTATCACTGGGTACCTGGGACCTCACTGTGTGAAGCTTAACTTGGGTACGTCTCGGCTGCTACTGTTGAGTTGTTCTCACTGACTTAAGCACTGTTCACCACTGTTCACCCCTGTTCAACACTGGTTCCATTCCTTTTCTAAATGAAATTGTAACTTCTGGCGAGAACTTGTTGATATTCCGGTGGGGAGGAGGGTTCAGGGGAGGGAGTTGGCATGGGCCAACTTAACAGTTGACCTGGCTGCTCCCAGAGGAACGCCAGGTACGTCTTGACCCTTTGGTGGTCAAGGATGTAGTGTAATAATAATAATAATAATAATAATAATAATAATAATAATAATAATAATAATAATAATAATAAGCGGTTTATTAATAGAGTTGCAGCCGGTGGCTGAAAATATACAGACTTACATTTGATTTAGACATAATGATATAATATGCATTGAATACATTTACAGGGCTGTACAGTACATAAATCAGGAGTTGTTTATTATTTTAACAATAGTTGGGATGGTGCTGTTCTTATATCTATCGGTGCGGGCTCTTATGGGCTGAATTTTGTTGTAGTGGCGGACTGCGCGAGTTGGGTGGGGGTCTGCCGGTGGCAGGAGGTGGCAATAACGAGGATGGTGCAGTAGTCCACTGCCAAACCTTTCCAGTGCTTGGTGGTGGAGGTCACTGAGGGATGGCATTTCCAGGGTGGAGAGAGCGTTGGTGTAGCCGGAGTATTCTGCGCCGAGCATGAATCTGCAGGTCCTTTTCTGTACCTTCTCTAGCTGACGTTGTTGGGTGGAGTTGAGAGAAGACGACCAGGCTGGTGACACATACGTTAGTTTGGGGAGCATAAAGGCGTTGTAGATGGTCCTCAGCTCTGGCGTTGGTGTCTCAAGTGACCTAAGTCGTCGTAGCATGTAGAGACGGTATGAGGCTGCCTTGACTGTGTTATTTACATGGGCCTTCCAGTCAAGTTTGTTGTCTATAGTTACACCCAGGAGTTTGGCAGACTGCACCAGCTGTAGAGGATGGGCACCCACTGTGACTGCTGGGGCTTGCACTGGAGTGGTGGCAGTATTGATGTGCATGACTACGGTTTTGGTGTGGTTGATGGTGACCTTGTTCTCTGTAGTCCATGCCTGTAGCCTGTCCAGGGTGCCTTGTAGCGATGAGTAGTCTTTTGCGGTGTTGTCCACTGAAACCCCCACAGTGCAGTCATCCACGTACTTCCACCTGTGAGGAGTGTCCGATAGAGCGTCGTTGATCAGGATGAGGAAGCACAGTGGTCCCATCTTGGTTCCCTGGGGAACACCGCAGGTGAGGTGTTGGAATGTGGAGCCCAAGCCCTGATACCTTACTGCCTGGCGACGTCCACTCAAGAAATTAGTGAGCCATGAGACCAGGTTGGTGGGCAGCCCTAGTGCAATAGCCTTGTTGATAACAGTGCAGTGATCAACAAGGTCAAAGGCCTTCCTGAAGTCCACAAGGGCAATGGCCAGTGATGCCTTACGTTTCTGCAAGTTTTTGTGCAGAAAATCCAGAAAGCTCACCAAGCAGTGTGATGTAGAGGAGGTCCTCATATTGCCAAATTGCTGTGGATCAATTGACTGATAGATACTGGCAAATACCCACTCAAAAACAAAGTCCTCACAAAGTAGACTGGGTGGGTATGGGGGTAATGGCAACTGACCTGAGGTCGTTAGGGGACTGTGGGGTGGTGACCTTGGGGATGGGGGTGACAAATGCGGTTTCCCATTCATTAGGGCATTTGCTTTGTCTGAGGGATGCATTAATAATAGAACAGAGGGGGGTGGCAAGTTCGACTGCAAACTCCTTGTATATTTTGATTGGGAGGTCAATTGGGGTCGTGGAGCGTTTGGATTTAAATTTCAGGAGTTTGTTGGCGTGTGTGTGTGTGTGTGTGTGTGTGTGTGTGTGTGTGTGTGTGTGTGTGTGTGTGTGTGTGTGTGTGTGTGTGTGTGTGTGTGTGTGTTTTAAGACTGTTCATTCTATTAATTACACTTTCCTGGATACTGTCGAGGATTTTTTTTTTTTTTGCGTTGTGATAAATCATTCACTGAAGGCGACGCAACTCGTGGGAGCACAGTGAGAAAAGTAAATCGAGAATTTGTAATTATTAAGTGTACCTTCGAACACGTAGATAGGAAAATGTTCTTTCAATTGAAAAAATATCATATACGTCCCAGCCTGGATTACTATACACAGGCATGGAAACCCTACCTCCAGAAAGACCTAACATCCATAGAAAAGGTGCAACACAAAGCGACTGAGATGATTCCGGAACTAAGTCACCTCAATTATCCAAGCAGACTGCGGGCCTTAGGACTAACAACCCTTCAGATAAGGCATAATTGGCACATCTCACCGAAATAGTCAAAATCGTGAAAGGTTTGAAAAACGTGAACCCGAGACATTTCTTTGTGATGTCACGCATCACCAACACGAGGGGACATAACTATAAGCTTGTGAAGTTAATCATACAGATCGAAGATAAGGAAATACTTCTTCACACAGAAGGTGGTAGACCTATGGAACGGTCCACCAGCCCAAACTGTGAAATCACAAACAGTACTGGGCTTCAAAGTAGCCCTTGACAAAGTTATCAAGAACAATGGAGGGATTCTACTGTACACCACCTCTAGTGGGTGGCCATTAACTAAATAAATATGTACAGGTAAATATGTACACGTGGGTTACTCTGAAAGCATGTGTACACGGAAATGTGTATGTAAGTATGTAATCTACGAACACAAGTGTAAATGCACATATTACATAATATTTACATTCACGTTCACTGGTCACCTCTTCCTCATACTCACCACACCACACCCTTTATCCTCTCCTTCAACCCTCTACTTCCTCCCTTCAACCCTCTACTCCCCCCCCTCACCTCTCCTCAACCGCCTCCCCTACACTCCTCCCCTCCACCCCCTCCCTCCCCTTCAAGGTCATTGTGGTGTAGAAGGACAGGGGAAAGGGGGGAGAAACAGACAGTGGGGGGAGGAGGGTGTTTAGGTGGGAGGAAGGGAAGAGAATAAAGAATGGGATTGACGGGTGGATATAGAATCTGGGGAGGGAGGGAAGGGGGAGGAAGAGAAGGAGAGAAGGGGAGAAAGCAGGGAGGAAGAGAAGGAAAGAAAGAGGAAGAGAAGAGGGAGGGTTTAAAAGAGGGAGTGAGGGTGGAGAGAGAAGACAAAGACATAAGGAAAGAGAGGGGCGAGAAGGTTGGATGGGAAAGGAGGAAGAGGTGGGCAGAAGAAGAAACGGAGGGAAGGGTGTTTTTAAGTTTAACAAATTTATTGGCAAAGCTTGTAGTACAGTTTGCCTATTCTGAGTAATTCAGTCAGGTCTTGGCACAGAGGTATCACTTCTCACTGAAGGGTGTGGGGAGGAAGGGAGGGTGGGAGGGAAGAGACGATACATCTTCAGGTGGAAGTGGGAGGGATGTTGTCAGTGGGCGGGCCGAGGGTCAGCCTTACCCACTGAGACTGCACACATTCTCACTCCCCACTCACTCACGTCTCTACCCTAACCACCAACTACCACCCACCCATCACTACCACCACTTCTGCCACAACTACCATTACCTCCAGTTCTACCAGCATCACCGTACAGGTCGGACGTTCGCCATCATCGACATTACCAGCGCAACCAACAACCATTACGCACTATACTGTATACCTCTACTGCCACTGTGACGTTACCAACACTACCACAGCGTTACTGCAGTAAGTTATTATATCATGTTAAATTATATTTACTTGGAAATACTTATAAATGAACTTGTGTGCATTTATAAGTGAGTTGAAATAACTGTTTTAAGGTACCTCATGTGTATCCGTAAGTAAGAGGTGCGGTGTAGTGTCCTATGTTCAGAGAGCGAAAAGATGTGTACAAATATAAGATCATCTGAAGCTTTTTCACCTTAAGAATAATCATCCTAACGCAAATCTAACATTACTTTACCTAACGCTAACCAAACATAACTTTACCTACCGCTAACCTGACACAACTTTACCTGACGCTAACCAAACATAACTTTACCTACAGCTAACCTGACACAACTTTACCTGACGCTAACCAAACATAACTTTACCTACCGCTAACCTGACACAAATTTACCTGACGCTAACCAAACATAACTTTACCTACAGCTAACCTGACACAACTTTACCTAACGCTAACCTACATAAATTTACATTCCGCTAACCAAACATAACTTTACCTAACGCTAACCTCACCTAACTTAACCTAACCTCTCCTAACTTAATGTAACACTAACCTAACCTAACCTAACCTAACCTATCCTAACTCCATGTAGCATCAGGGTATTTAATCATCAGGTGAAATAAGTTGGGGCTAATCTTCGAGTGATCACAAATATATATATATATATACAGTATATATATATTTCATTTTTAGTCCATATAACACGCGGACTTTGAACATATAATCAACGACCTCACCAGCCAGGACTCGAACCCTGGACCTAATGCGTGGAACCAGGGAACGCTACAGACCATACCACAAGAGCACTAAAGGTAGCGTTCCCTGGTTCCACGCATTAGGTCCAGGGTTCGAGTCCTGGCTGGTGAGGTCGTTGATTACACCGGTCAACACAATTTTTCTGGCACAAGGTTTTTAAACGGATTTTAAGTAAATTTGGGGTGCAGAATCCAAATATGACTTTGGTTTTTGTCTTTCACATCAGGTTTTTGAGATATACCATATTGCACTTTTGCTGGGAAACGTAAACTTTTGGATCAAAATTGACGGTTTAAACATGTATACATAAATTTTTTCAGCATTATAATTTGTATTTTTCTATAACCAAAAATTGTTAATATCAAATTGGAAAGTTAATGCACATATAATATTTAAATGTAACATTGAAGGGTGAAAAAAACAATTAATGTACGGTAGAAATAGTGCAAGTATTAAGATCAAGTTACAGTTACATAAACTTCCTCTTTTTGGCCGATCTCTTATGTACAGCTTCTGGAATGTCTCTCATCAAACTCCAGCAGTAGTCCGCCATCATGTTCGAGTCCCATCGACCTTGGTAACGTTCTTCCATTACTTTAATGTCTTGATGAAAGCGCTCCCCTTGCTCCTCGCTCACTTCTCCCAGATTTTCTGGAAACTCGTCCAAGTGACTGTGTAAGTAGTGAACCTTGATACTCATTCTGCATCCAAGTGCTTGTAAACTCAAGAGCAGCTCTTCCACAATTTCTTGATAGTTGTCCGCTTTCTTGTTCCCTAAGAAGTTCCGCACCACATTAGAGAAAGCATTCCAAGTTCTTGCCTGTGCCTCAGTCATTGTTGCAAGGAAGTGTGGATCTCTGAGTAGTGTTCTTATTTGAGGTCCATCAAAAATCCCTGCCTTTTTCTTCTCGTCGCTAAGACTTGGAAAGGTTGAGCATATATATCTGAAACACTCTCCACTATGATCAAGAGCCTTGACGAATTGCTTCATGATACCAAGTTTTATGTGCAGAGGAGGAAGGACAATGTTTTTCCTGTCAACCAGAGGATCGTTAATGATATTCTTGTCACCAGGCGTCAAACTATGTCTTGGTGGCCAATTCTTTTTCACCCAATGGTCTGCTGTAGCCCTGCTGTCCCAGTAGCACAGAAAACAGGGGTATTTTGTGTACCCTCCTTGCTGGCCCAATAGAAAGTTTACCATTTTCAAGTCCACACAAATTAACCATTCATGAGCATGGTATTGCAACCTCTCTAGAACAGTCTTAATGTTTTCATACTCTTCTTTAATTTGTACAGAATGTCCGATTGGAATTGAACCATACTTGTTTCCGTTATGAAGAAGAACACATTTCAAGCTCCTTTTAGAACTGTCAATAAAAAGTCTCCAATCCTTACTATCATATGCTGGTAGTCCCATGGAGAGAAGAAGTCCTTCTACATCATTACAAAAAACAAGCTGGTCATATGAATGAAAGTACTTCCGCAGTTGCTCTTCTCTGTTGCGATAAAAGGAGACACTCGTGCCAGGTTTTAAGAGTCGTTTCTCTTGAAGCCTGGAAGCTAACAATTCAGCAGACTGTTTTGGCAAATTTAGATCTCTGACCAGATCATTCAATTCTGACTGAGTAAACAACGTTGGCTTTTCACAATCTTCACCAGATGGCTTGAAAAGATCAGTCTCTTCATCTTCATCAGTAGAAACAGGTGAATTCTGGTCTATATCCTCAATCTCTGGTAGCTCAGTAAATTCTGGCACGTTACGTGATGGAGCAAATCTGAGATCAGATTTGGATTCAGCACCTTAAAGTTAGTAAAAAACAGTTAAAAGGTTTCATGCCAGAAAAAAAAAATTTGTAGACCAGTGTTATATATATATATATTATATATATATATATATATATATATATATATATATATATATATATATATATATATATATATATATATATATATATATATATATATATATATATATATATATATATATATATATATATATATATATATATATATATATATGCAAGTAAATCACTGTAGGTGCAAGGGATCTTAGGTATATGCTATATATATATATATATATATTACACATACTCGTTTTATTAATTTCAACAATATTTTACTGCATATATTGAATATGTAAGTATAGATACGGAGACGTCTTTCGTTTTGATTAGTGTCATTTACTGAGGTCTGCGGCCCACAGTCGAACGTGAGATCTGTCGCTTCAGAACTACAGTGATAGTCATCAAATAAATATCTGAATATTCATGAAAAAGGAAAATCGTTCAAACAATCTTAAATTTTCATACGAGTATTTTTCTCATGCAATTCCTCCTTTTTAAATTATCGTACTCAAAGGGTGAATTTGTATTAGCCCCTGCCTCATGGCAATAACAATTATATAAATTTGGGTTAATACATTTAGTTTATATTATCCAATCACCCAGTTGTAATTTTCCATAAGCTGTGAACTGCCATGTGCTGTAAACGTGAGGGGAAATTCCTCTATCAGTAGGCCGACCTTGAGAATGTAGGGTTAGCCCGGCCTCTCCTTCAGAAGCACCTCTCCTCACAGGACCAGTCCTCACTTGAAGCTCACGAGAATTTGACGGTGACCTGACTCAGTCAAGCTGAGCCCCCGTCCATAACTAACGCTCATAGCTTACAGTGTTAATTACGGTGCATCTACTAATAGACTGTGACCAATATAGTTTTACAAATAAATGAAGAAAAGACCATTTGGGTTTGTAACTTAACCCCTCAACTTATTTATATATAAGCCAAGTTAAGGGAACTCTACCCAAAGCTTATATATAAAGGTGGCAGTGAAAAGAGAGAACCATTAACTGAACCAGTGAAGCAGTGTAACTAACTGCAAGAAGCCGACGTCACTGTAACCCAAGTAACAGAGAAAGTTTCTAAGTGTCATTCTCCGGCAACAGACTATATACCGTATATATTCTCGTGAGCAATATTATATGTCAAGTGATATATTTAAATGTCATCCCGGCTCGACATACAATTTTTTTTTTTTACTCAAATAACATTTAAGTAAGTTAAACATAATTCACCGTAGTGTGGCAACACCTCGTGACGACAAGACGATAGTCCCTATCTCAAGTGGACGCCTTCTTGGGGGTAGGTATGTTGTTGCGATTATTATTTCGCCCTGTTGTCTGTACTTTAATGGCAAGGAATTCGCTGTTAAAGTTGTCTATGTCTATTAGTATGTGTTTGATACCTTTTTTCACCGCTACGGGAACTACGTCATGTTTTTCTCCACTTTTGTTCGACTGGTGGGTAGTGGGTGTCGTAGTTAAATATTTTGATTGTGTTGTTCTCGGGTTCGCAGTGTGCACTTATTAGTATTATATCTGGATTGTTTTCATTGTAAATGTTACAAAGCGATATTTTGCATGTGTGCCAATCGCGGACATTGTGTTGTAGGATTTTAAGTGTTTTCAGTTGTAGATGGTTCATTATTTCTTTTTCTTGGAAGGTTGAAGTTGAGGGGGTGATCTCATTTCGTTGAGTCCCGATGATTTCCTTTTGAGTTCAGCTGCCGTGATTGCAATAAAATGTTTTGTGCCGAATTTTATTTGGTCTTTTTTAATCTTGTTCCATACCGTTTCTTTGCCATACCATTCGTCTGTGTATTGCCACACTATTTCGTTAGCTGTTACTAAGTCTTCGATAAACTTTCCAGTGGGTTTTCTGTGTGGTGGGTATGGTATTCTTGTGGTTTGAAGTCTATTTCCATTTCATTTTCATTGTTCTTGGCCGCTAATTTCCTTTTTCGCCCCCGTTCCTTGTGTCAGTCTTGGGTCTCGCCCTCTCAGTCAAATCTCCAGGTCGCTCCGCTTTTTCCGGTATGTTATCCTGGTCTGTTGGTGATGTTGTGTCCTTGGGGTGCTTAATCGTTGTCTGAAGTGTTTTGTAAGCTCTGGGGTGCTGGTGGCGTGTAACAAGTTTGCTGAGTTTGGGTTTTCAGGGAAGTTCATTTGTGGCATGTTGTTTATTTAAAGCATCCTATTGAGTTCGTCGGCATATGATCCTGGGGCTATGATGTTATGATGGTGAGCATGTAGCATGCTCACCATTACCTTGAAATTATCAGTGTCACTTAATTTGATTATGGTGTCAGTAGTTGGCTGTGTTGCCTCTTTCATGGCCCGCTTTGCTATTTCAGCATATGTGCTTTGGTCTGTCATCTTTTCTCGTTGGTCTTCCTGCTCTTGTT